TCCTGTTGTGGAACAGAAATTACTCACAACATGTACATTTGTTAGACGTCATTTTCAACTTTGGTTGCTGTTTGGTGAAATTATTTCTACACTTTCTCTTTATAACCCAATTAATGTAAGAGTCTGCTGCATTATCATTGGAGGAAACAGTCTGTGTCTGTTGTTTGAATGTCTTGTGAGATCTGCTTATTTGCAAGCACTTGTCTAGAGTAAGCTGTTTGTCTGACAGTAGCTTCTCTTTGGCGGTGACATATCTAACCCCAACAATGACTTGGTCTCCAATAAGCTTATCTTGTTGCTGCCCGAAATTGCAGTTCTTTACAAGTTGTCACAGCACAGCTAAATATCTCTCAATGCTTTCTGATGCTTTTTTCTTTCAGAGTTGGAATTTATAAGACTCATAGGCTCTGTGTGTTTCACCTACAAAAAAATTCCTCAAACTTCTTAATCAATATCCCTTGTTCTGTCTTGTCATGTCTTTCTCGCAGTCAAACTTCAACCTGTCATATACATTGTAGGCTTCCTTCCCAATAGTGGCTAAGAACACACTATTTCCAGCTAAGAAAGACTGTTTTTACATTGACCTAAGTAGCAAGGTAATCATTTTAAGAAATACTGTTTATCAAAATAAGTGCTGTCTAATTTTTGACATTTAGAAATACATTTCTTGTTCTTGAATGCAGAGATTTTCTTTTTCAAGCTTAAACTAGTTTGGCACAAGTTTGCAATAGCAGAGTACCAAATGAAAATCAAAGACAATAACAACAACTTGCAATATTAACTTTCTAACCTTACTCTATAAAAGGTAATTACAGTAGGTATGTCATAGTCATTGCTTAGTTTGGCACAAGGCCATAAGAATGAAGCATAAAAAATTCCACCTAAATGTGTACAAAATTAGCATGTTAATTATTGCACCAAAGTTAATGCATATTTACAAAAGTGCGGAATATGAAAAAAAAATTATATTATGTGAAGATTTTATATGTATTGGTAGGCTCCTGGGTTGATTCTAAATAAACAGGCTTTAAGTTTGGAGTCATTGCTCCCAATTGGGCCACACACCTAAGGAAACCCAGTGATATGGTAAATTTGGCAGATAAATACAACACATTGCAACATAAACCTAACACCATATTACAGCAACATGGTCTTGTAGGTGAATTGTTTTCCACCCTACAACCACTTTCCCACATAAACAAAACATTGTAAACTTTTCACTACTTTTGCTATTTCCATGGAAATTCATTAGTTTCACCAGTTCAGACTTTAACAGCTAAGGCCCGCCATGCCATATACAAAATTGTGTCTATCCAATAATATCTGTTACAGTTTCCATGGAGAGAAATAGGAGGCCCACCTTCCAGAGAATCCTTTATTTATATATATATATATATATATATATATATATATAGAGAGAGAAGATCAACCACTTACACTACCATAGTTTCAACTATTGAGGTCTTGTCAGCTGGTACAGGATAATTAATTTCCTAACACTTTATTTGCTTATTTTATGTACACACAACAGGAAGTGTGAGAAAAGAGAAGGGGTGTGGTAAGAGTGGGGAAATATGATAGGGAGTAGTAACAAAAAACAAAATTGTATGTAATTTAATCCGAGTTCATATAAACCCTAAATATATGTTTTAGTGTGTCTATACTCCAACATGACTTCAGATCTGTCATTTAACAGCTTTTTTTTTATCTGAATATGTTGTTATTGCTAATTTCTCTTCCTGGCACAGGCTGCAGATATCACTATCATTACTGCAAGGTCTGGCTCTCCTCAATATGCTCCACCTTACATTAGGGCTTTTCTTATTATTTTCCTTTAATTCATACACATGGCTGGCCGGTCTGGTACAATTCCCACACATCAATAATAATAATGATTATAATTATCTCTATATTGATAATGTAGTATCTATCTATTTCCTATGTAAGATGTGCATCCATCCCTACCACAAAAAATAAATAAAAATAAAATAAAAAACAATTTAAAAAAAAAAAAAAAAAACACACTTTAAAAGATTTAAATGTGTAAAGGAGAAATAAAACTGTAGACAGCATCTATCAATCTCTTCTTCATTTACTTTTCTTTTTGATTTTCTCTTTCTTAATTACCTTCTACCTTGTTCCACCTCTCCATTCTTTCCCTTGATTTTCTTTTTAATTCTGTTGCCATGTGGAAAAGGACAGAGAAGCAGTTGATATATATATATATACTAGCAGTAGAGCCCAGCGTAACAGTAAGAGATAGATCAAGTATCGGCCATCATAAAGACTGAAAAATAAAATTGACAAAGATTATTGTTTAAGGTTGACGGACACGCATGTCTTAATTAGTTTTTTTTTTTTTACGAATTGGTCAAACCCAAACTCAAACAAAAACATTGATTTCAATCGTTATGGATCAATCCGATTGAATAGAATTTTATTATAAACAATTGCCTTGTAAATGGAATTTTTAAAGCATTCTGAATGTAAAAATAAAGAAAAAAGTGTGCAAGACAATAAGAAACACTACCTGCCAAAAAAAAAAAGTGAAGTTTTGTTAAAATCGGTTGAAAAATGTAGGAAATCCGATCCCATATATAAACAAACACACACACGTAAAGAACCTGGGTTTTATAATAAGTATAACTCGATATGAGTTGTTCCACTTCCATTCTCGTGACAGCGATGCCTCTTAATCATGTTTTCAAATTGATTTCATGCAAAAACAATTGTGTTTTTCCAATTTTTGGTGCTGTCAGAACCACCGCAAGGTAATTTTACGTAGTCCTGTGATGTTTTGTTGAAATCGGTTGAAAAATGTAGGAAATCCAATCCAATATATAAACAAACAGACACACACAACCTGGGTTTTATAATAAGTATGATATACACACACACACAGAAAGTGCACCAGGTAATTTAAAACTAGTTGTAATATAAAGATACAGGGTGTGATGGTTAAATTGTCGCCATTTTATATTTTTAATTTTGATTATGTGTGTTATTTGTTTTTGATTTTCTTAACTGCACAGTATAGTAGGGTCAGTTGGGCACCGTCTGTGAGAAAAAGACCACCATGATACAATTCACTACACCAGAGGTTTGGAAACAGCATGCTGTACTGCTTGGCATTTGCACCAGAAGTGCCAATATCAATATTTCAAAGTGTTTCGATGTCAATCTGAGGACAGTGCAGAGGATTCAGAAAGAGTTGAATGAGTCTATTGGTGATTACGAATGTATGGCAGCTTGGAAAATTCACTCTGATCACTCTGATGAGAAAAGAACTCCCAAATTTCTTGGTGAAGGCCTCAGATTCAACACAGACGCCTACATCAAGTGCCTTGAGAAGGTAGTGCTGCCCTGGGTCAAGAGGGTGGTTGCTGGAAGATCCTATATCTAGCAACAGGACTCTGCACCATGTCACACAAGCAGGAGAACCACGGCATGGCTGTCAGACAATTTCTGCAGCCACATCACCCCTTACATCCAGCCACCTAACTTCTCAGACTTGCAACCCCCTTGATTATTATGTGTGGGATGCAGTTGAGCCAACAAAACTTTTCGTAGCACCACCCACAAAAAAAAAATCAGTACATTTTCAAAAACATTTTTACAAATGATTAAGCAAGAAAAAAAAATAGTTATTCAATAAAACTGCCCTTGGCCTCAAGGACAGCCTCAGTAGCAATTACATGTCCAGACAAGGTGCTTGTTGTTAGATACGAGTCCCATGATGGCAACTTTTAATGACTTCTTGGTATAATTAGGCCACTGGTTGGTCACCTTGACAACTCTCTGAAACAATAGCCGAGTGGATTAAAGTGTTGATACATGAATTTGGTGAAATAGTAATTGTGAGTCCAATCTCTGGGTTGGGTAGTGCAGATCTGGACACAGTGGAAATGGATCAAACAATAACTGGTCGGTACTAATTAAGAACTAGATGAGATATCCTGAGACATATTAAGCAAAACAACAACACTCTAGCTTCGTACATTAAATAATGGTTTCAGTTCGAAATTCCCTGAAGATTATTCAGATTGAAAAGCACCTGGGTGAAGGTCAGAAGGCACAACAGCCAAAACGTTGTGATAGCAACAACAACAAAGGTGAAGACAATATTCTGCTTGTAAATAATGTACAAGCCACATTAAATGAACTCAAAGTTCATATATGTAATTGGGAAATGGTGGTGATGTGAGCGGGAGGGGGGGAGTGATATGAAAATCCTCAGTTGGCCATTTCTAGGGTTACATTGTATGGGAAAAGGAGCAGAGTCCTGGTAGAACATATATGACCTCCTATAGGCCACCTTCTCAAGCCAGCCTTGACCACCATATCCAGCATTCCAGTGTACACAGTGTCACTGACCTCCAAGTCCTGCAAGAAGGCATGAGACAGCATGGCACCTCCTGGACTATTACAGACTGTTTTAGAGTGGTTTCACAGTGGAGGCTTGTATTTGTACTAAGTTGGTCCTAAAATAGGTTCGACGTACAAAACGTTAGGAACTTGATATAATAGGTAATGACGCAGAGAAATCTTTTAGTATCCGACTAACGGTCATCCGGCATCGACTGACTGAGCGCCTTACTCAGCGACTGACTCGTTACTATTACTACTACTACTACTTATTATAGGTGGGAGAGTCTATTAACTACAGAATAGGTGTGTTCCACTATAACACAGACGTTGTGCAATGTGGAGTCTGCACTGTCTGCCTCCTTGTTCCTAGTCAAATTTCCTCTTGTTGGTTGGTTGTTTTTGTTTAGTGGCATATCAATATCTATGAGTTATTTAATACCAAAATTTAAATATTTTGTATGCAACTTTATTTTTGTGGAGATAATAATGGTTTGAGTAATATAAATTTTACTAATTAACCTATAGTTGAAGGAAGAAGAGATGAATTCATAACTTTTCCAATAATTATAACGAACCCAATTGGAACTGGAACTCGGCTCTCCGATTAACAATTCTGAGCCAATATCCATTATACCACCTGGTATTCCCAAGTAGTTACTCATCTAAGTACTGACCAGGCTCAATGTAGCTTAACTTTGGTGATTGTACAGGAACTGGTGTTTCAACGTGTTGTGGCTGTAAGCTTTTTCATTGGAGAAGAGCTACAATATGTGCCTCTGTCATATCACATAGCCCTGTAGTGTCTTGTAGGATATGAACTGTCCTCTACTCATCACATCAGAAATATACCTGATGCCCTCACATGTCATTCAACATCACCCTCACCCAGCTTGCCACCAACCGGTCAATGACAGCCCCACATTGCATCTCTGATTCTCATTCATGCCAGCATACAACAAAAACTGGGAAAGGCCTGTTGCACGTTCAAAAGGAAACGAAAGATGAAAACTCGCCACATTAAGAAATGGACCCTGTTCCCAATATTGTAAAATAGGTATTTTGATTCATAGCTTAACTTTCCTCTGTCTGTGTGAATAGGTAGGTGACACTTGGTACACTCTCTGCTATATCAGTCTCATTGATTAGCTCTTCTTCCGATGAACTCCCTATCTACACATACGTGTTGGGACAATGCAAAGGACCGTATGTGAAGGACCCCGCCAAAAGTGGACAAGAATTGGCTTCTCCGATACTGTTGTAGCATACCTACGGACAATAATGCGTATGTCCCCATTCACATAAATACAGTATTTATGAAGTAAATGACAATAGAAAAACTAGTAATTGCCGACGCATTTCGTCCAATGTGGAATTTATCAAAGCAAAATACGAAAAGAATTTAATTAAACAAGGTAACTAATAAAAACAGAATGTTCCTAGCAACTGGAATTGCTTTGATAAAGTCCACAACACAAGGAAAAATCACTGTCAGTACAGACTCGAATATCGAGGGGCGGAAAGAAATGCTGAAAACTTGATTCGCTGGTACTATCTCAAATCACAATGCGTGTAACCAGTCAGAAAAATAACTCACTCACTAACAAACGCCATGGCCAAAAATGCCCGAATTTTCCGATCTCGAATCGAGAACACCAACTGCATTTATCGGCAGAACCTATTTTTTTCATTCACCGACAGCTGGGATAGGATGTTCCATAATTTGCATATTAAAATACTTTTATAGCGACTCCTGCGACAGACTTGTTTTTTTTTCTTTAATTCAATTATTCCATTTTCAGCATATTATGTGGAATACGTGCCCTTCTATTTGGTAAGTAATTTTCTTTTTCGCCACTTTTTCCGTCGTAGAATACACGCGACACGCTGTCGCTTGGTTTGACGAGGTAAGTCGCCGTTTTCTTCGCTACAAGTCCACATTGGATGAAACACGTCAGCAATTACTAGTTTTCCTATTGTCATTTTTATTCATAAATATTGTCTTCTCTACTGGTTAAATCGGAGAAATTTTCATAAATACAGTAGTAAATACTGTATGTTGGTCTGCAGTTGGAGATTCATTGTGGAATTCACTTGACTGACTACTTCTTCCACGCACCGCTGGTGAATCTAATATGTGTTGTTCTTGTCCTAAGTATTATCGTTCATTACCATCCTTCATTTGATTATTCTATTCAATAACCTTCCCTATGTTACAACAGATATCAGTATCATTATATATAGACCAGCAACTGGAAACAATCAATGTTCAACTTGTTGTCACTTGACCTCAGTTGTTTTCCTTAAACTACTTGTTTGTCTTCAGACAAGTGGGTAGCACTCAGAAAACCTCATCCGCAGGCCATGAGATAAAACATTTCTACGGGTCCGTCCAAACTACAGTGTCAGTGATGAGCCTTGCCAAATTGTTGGGGGATGTGAATGCCCTGGGCCTGGCAAAAGAATTTGCCTATCCTTATGACATCTGTCTGATTAGAATCCTTCTTTCTTTTGGCTATGAATTCAGGTGGTTTCTGACCTTGAACACGAATGGCCTGTCCACATTTGAGAAGCTTGTTGTCTTCAAGTTGTTATGATTGGCATCTCATACCACAAGAACGATTCATCTTTCATCTCTTGTTTCAAGATTAGAAATATCATATTGATATTTCTATAAATTAAGATCAAATAATGTTTATATATTATATATATATATATATATATATATATATATATAAACACACAGATATAAACATATATATTTTTATATATATATATACATATATATATATATATATATATATATATATATATGCACACACGCATATATATGCACACACACGCATATACATACATATATATGCACACGCACACATATACACACATATATATATATATGCACACATATACACACACACATATATATATATATATGCACGCACACACGAACATATACACATATATATATATATGCCCACACACACATATATGCACACACACACGAATATATACACACACACATATATATATATGCCCACACACACATATATGCACACACACACGAACATATACACACACACATATATATATATATATGCCCACACACACACACGAACATATACACACACTATATATATATATATATATATATATATATATATATATATATATATATATATATGCACATTATATATATATATATATATGGATAGGTCGTAGTCGGTATATTTCAAGTCCTACAGGTAGTACGGCTTGCGTGCGTACATAAAGGCAGATATAGATCGATGGTTAAAATCACATTTAAAAACGTTTAAAATCCCGGTTTTTTACATTCTCTTTGTCACTACTGTCAACTTCACGAAATAAATCATCCCCCAGGCGCCTGAACCAATGGTAATTGTTTATTTTTAATTAATGAACAATTTATACGCATCGACTATGACGAGCACTATATGCGATATATACATATTATATATATTAGTATAAATGTTGTTCAATATCTGTGATAGAGATTAATAATATATTCAGTTGTCCAATCCTTTGTAAAATTTTGTAAAAGAATTCACGATTTTGATCGATTACATACATACATACATACATATTCACTCTGTCAAATCCGCTAAAATGTATGCACTTGGTAATGTTCAAGAAATGAAAATTTATAAATCAAGAAATTATTCCAAACTTGTTCAATTCTTTAATAATTTTTTCAGATATTTCCTTTTGTATAGGGCGAATTGTTTTGCGATCGATTAGTTGGCCCAAAAATGCTGAGCATGCATTTTTCAATTTCTTGCCTAAGAGCTTACTTAATATTTATTAGTCGGTTTTCTGAACAACGATATTTGTTTTATACATCATTTCCTTTTTTTATTAGTCCCCCTCCCCGATAATTTTTTCAATTTGAAATGACAAGTTTTCCTTTAAAAATAATCTGAAGTGTGTACTTTATACATGTTTTGGTAGACACTGCATATAGGTACCCCCAAGATTCGCTAAAAAAAAAAGGAATATACATTGTTTTTATTAAGTTTGGGTCATTTTTTTAATAAAGTTTTCTTGTCGTCTTTATACGATTATTAAGAGGAAGGACCAAAGGATTTTTTTTATTATAAAATTATATTTTGATCCGTTTTTAGAATAATCGTAATTTTGATTAAATATTTTGTTTTTCTTTCACCATAAATTAATATGAGAAATGTTAGCATCTTTTTTGCGGTGCAAAAACATGATGATTTGTAGAATTAAAATATTTCTTTATTAGAAAATATTTACACAAATATTTTTAAAATCTGTTAATCCCCACTTATTTAATTTTGAGAAATTCTATTTTGTAGTGCATAATGCTTATATACGTCATAAAGACAAGTCCTCGTAGAATTTAAATCATAAAATGTTTTTGATTAGACAGGACATCCAGTTACAGAAAACATGCACTGAAATATTTGAATTAGAAAAGCTTTTAATTGCTTTTAAATTATATTATAGATATTTTGCGATGTAGGGTGGCCTTTAATAATTAAGTATAACTCAAGACTTCAATGTTAAAATAAAACAGTATTTAATTACAACTGCAAATAAATACTTAAAGAAGAAAAAGTCAACCAAAGATAATTAACCATTTCAGTGAATACCTTGTTAGTAGCGCGGCTCGGCTTAACGTCCGGTAAATCCTAAATCCAATCTCAAATCATTGACGTACAATAATTCACACTAATTCGACTGGATAGTTCCAATCAATTGTCACTCAATAATAACTCCAGTAAGTAGTATGACAACGCTATTTATACACCTGGCAGAAAACACATATTCATAACTCCAGAGTGTCACGTTCGAACCTCGGTGTCGGGAGTTACTCATTTTCTTCCTATATGACAAAATACTATTGTCTTAAGAAAACTAACTTTTCTTCTAATTATTACGTTCTAAATAGTTACCATAAAAATTCATAAATGGAAAACATCACTACAATTCCACGACCCCCAATATTTTTAAAAAGAATTTTGAATTTATTTTATGTTTATATAAGTTGTCGATTTTTGTAAATATGAATGTACAAGCGCGATATTACCAGAAAATAAGAGTAGTAAATATAGTAAAGTTAAAATTTATTGGTAATTTTCTAACATTTCCTGAACAAGTGTTTTGGGTAGTTAAAATATATATAAAAAAAAAAGCATTCACGTTAGATTCGTCAAGCAACTGTTACAGTTATGACCCCTTAGAAAACAACTGTCAAGCATAAATCTAGCCATAAAGTTGTCAGCACCTCATAAAAACACATAAAAACCTCCGCGTTAAATATGTGATGTTTTAAACTGAAAGTAAATGATATTTGTTTCAAATCTGAACAATTAAACTTTAATTCATGTAAAATTCCGTAAATAAAATTTCAAAAAAGTATATTTTAGTTTTGGTAGATTTTTAGTAAAGAGAATTACGTTGTGTTGACAGACCTGTCAATATTGACGTTTTTACCGATAAAAAGAACTCATTCCAATCAATTTAAATTCAGTTTTGAAATACAGCAAAGTACTTTGCTTATTGGAAATATCAAATTTAATCTACTAGCGTGAAATAAAAAATAAAATGAAAGATTCAAGAAAGTCTTAATTTTTAAAAATGCATTTTAAACAATAGGTATCGTTTTACTTCAGAGGTATCTATGAGAGCAATTTTTTAATTTGAACAAATTTAGTTAAATACCAAAAAAATTCCTTGTTAATTTTTTTTATTTAAAA